AAAAATCTGAAAATTTCAAATTTTCATAAAAAATCTGAAAATCAGATTTTCAGAAAAAATCTGAAAAAATCAGAAAAAATCTGAAAATTTCAGATTCTCAGAAAAAAAATGAAAAATTCAGAGAAAATCTGAAAATTTCAGATTCTCAGAAAAAAAAATGAAAAATTCAGAAAAAATCTGAAAATTTCAAATTTTAAGAAAAAATCTGAAAAAATCTGAAAATTTCAGATTTTCAGAAAAAACTCTGAAAATTTCAGAAAAAAATAAAATTTCAGAAAAAATCTAAAAAATTCAGATTTTCAAAAAAAAATCTGAAAAAATCAGAAAAAATCTGAAAAAAAAATCAGAAAAAATATGAGAACATCAATAAGAATCTGAAAATTTTATTTTAAAAAAAATATATATATCAGAAAAAATGAAAAATCAAAACAACATATAAATATATAGTTTTCATAAATAAATCAAACTTACCAAAAAAACTATTTTAATACAAGTGAATATTGAAAATAAACTATGTTTCAAAAATACTACAAATTATATTAAGTCACTGAAAAATGGTGCCGGAGAGGCTATCCAGACCTTTGGGGGTCATTGGAAATCTATGGGTGCAAAAGTTTACAAATAAAATGCATTGGAAATCTAGTTGTGCAAAGGACTAGACCTAACGTGGTTGGTCAAAAAAAACAGTCTTGATCAGTGCCAGAAAGGCTGTCCAGACCTTTGTACGACCTGGGGAATCTAGCGTGGCGAAGGTCTAGAAACACAATGGCCAGCAAAACCAATCTGTGTTGATCAAGGCCAGAAACGCTGTCCAGACCTTTGGACAAACTTTGGAATCTAGCTTGGCAAAGGTCTAGGGCTACAATGGTCAGCAAAACCAACCTGTCTTGATCAGTGCCAGAAACGCTGTCCAGACCTCTGTAAGAACTGGGGAATCTAGCTTGGCAAAGGTCTAGAGCTACAATGGTCAGCAAAACCAACCTGTCCTGATGATTGCCAGAAAAGCTGTCCAGACCTTTGAAAAAACAAGATCTGCCTTACATCTTCAAAGTTGAAAATTATGGGACATCCATATATCATGTCCAACATAGACACGCTCAAGGGTCTATAGTACCTTAAATGCAGAGGGTCTACAGTGCTCTAGGAAGTACTCTAGACCCTGGGCCCCTGAGGCCTGGAGGGTTGGGTACTCTAGACCTTATGTAGTTGAGGGGATTCAAAGTGTGCTTTGCATGGCTTTGCATCGCCACTGGAACCACCGAGCCCGGTGGCCTCTTGGAAGCGCGTACGGTCTGCTGCATCCACTAAGAAAATGATGCCATCGACCGCCGACAAATAGTCCTGTCCCCGGGAACCCCACCGGGGGCCCGAAAAAGGGGACACCCGGGACACCGGAGAGCGACTCATTGCTTCACGAAAAGGGTAATGATCCCGGGGGTCACAAGGATCAGTGCTTGGTGGGAACCCCACATGCCAGATATATATATATATATATTATATATATATATATAAATATGTATATTATATATATGTATATATGGAACAGGTCTCAAGCATGAAAGGCAAGGATTAACCAATGAAAATCGGGAATAAACTACTCTCTTGGGTGACTGTTAAAATGGGGTATACCGGCGTTTACCTAATTTTACCTAATCTATTGCCATCTTGAGAGGGAACTTTGTGACCTTCCAAATGTATATCCCAGTTGATAAGTTCAGATTCCGAACCCGCAGCAGAAAACAAAAACCCAATTGTGGCATATCTGACTCAACAAATACTAGCGCTTAAAAACGATTTTCCATGTTGTTTTCCCATCGTTTTCCAATAAGTTTATCCCATGTTACCCAGAAATCCAGGTACTTCCCAAGCACTTCCCACCGTTTTCCCATAGTTTTAACCCTTACCATAGATTTCCCATAGATTTCCCCTAGTTTTCCCCATAGTTTTAGCCCTTTCACTTCCCGCTTCCCAACGGCGAAGCAGGCCTTCCAGATACGCCGGGCAGTTTCATGGCCGCCCAGATCGAAGGTTCGAAAGCGAATGCCGTTGATGTTCAGCTCCTGGCGTTACGACGCTAGTTACGACGGGACGACGAAAGAGTCACGGCGGAGATGAAATCTATGGGGAAATCCATGGGAAAATGGGAAATCTATAGGGAAATCAATGGGAAAGCTATGGGAAATCTATGGGGAAATCCATGGGAAAATGGGAAAGCTATGGGAAATCTATGGGGAAATCCATTAGAAAATGGGAAAGCTATGGGAAATCTATGGGGAAATCCATGGGAAAAATGGGAAAGCTATGGGAAATCTATAGGGAAATCCATTGGAAAAATGGGAAAGCTATGGGAAATCTATGATAAATCCACCAGAAAATGCGAAAGCTATGGGAAATCTATGGGGAAGTCCATTGGAAAAATGGGAAAGCTATGGGAAATCTATAGGGAAATCCATGGGAAAAATGGGAAAGCTATGGGAAATCTATGGGGAAATCCATGGGAAAAATGGGAAAGCTATGGGAAATCTATGGGAAATCTATGGGGAAATCCATTAGAAAATGGGAAAGCTATGGGAAATCTATGGGGAAATCCATGGGAAAAATGGGGAAGCTATGGGAAATCTATGGGGAAATCTATGATATCTATGAAATCTCTCCAAGATTGGAAAATCCCACCTGCAATGGCTAGTTCAATTCGGATCCCCATAATGGATTGTCAGAATCCCCAACCTCCTATCATCCTCAACGGTCACTAATTTCAACCGATTGTATGCTCGTATCCAATGGAAATAAAGCAACAATGAATCATTATATGCTAAATCTATCCGAATCTCTAAGAAATAAATTGTCAAAGAAGGTTTTTGACACTGCTCGTTTCATGCCAACAGCGCCCACTCGGGAACCTCATTGCTGGGATAGAGTGTGGGAGCGTTCACTGACAGGCGCCCATCGCGCAGCATCTGCAGAAGCGTCGTTTTCCTGGCCCCAAGAGGGATGTCTGTCGTGGCAGAAATAGGGGTGCAACGTTGTCTAAAAGCAACCCCCCAAATAGATAGAGTTGAAAACTTCGCAAACACTTGGGGAAGATGTGGGAAGAAGTTGTCAAGTTATCCTCTTTTTCACATCCTAAAGAACCTCAAAGGCTCCATGCAAACGGGGGTCAACCAGATTTGGAAGAATTTGGGTCGGATGGTAGGATTATCAACTATAGATCCCTCCATAACTTCCCTCCATATTCCTTAATTTTATTCAGTTAGCTGCATTCTTCAAGTCATAAAAACACATCCCCCAAACCTGTGGCCCTTGTCCCCGCGAAAATCCATGGCGTTCCGCCCAGTGGCCCAGCATTGTCCAGCCCCAGGAAACAAATCTTTGCTTTCCTGGTTGCGGCATGGGATGAACGTGACCCTTTCAGGGGTTTAGGGTCCCACCTAAGGACTTGAGTTAAACATTATGAATATAGATGTATTGGGTGTATATAAGTAAATTATATATAATCACAGCAAATATGTATATATATATATATGTATACATTATTATACATATCATATACATAAATAGAGAGAGAGAGAGAAAGACAGTATATATATATATACATATATATTGAAATCAACAAATGTGGCCTGCTTGATACTAACTACAGTACTAAATTTGAGTTCTGCTACTATTGCCACTAACGGTGGTTCCGTCAAGAGCACTGTGAACAAAACAGGCTGCTGGAAGGTTGGAAGGCTAGTGATCTTGTGTGTTTTTTTTGTTTGACTAAAATCAACTAGCGGTATGACTACTGAATACTATTCAAGCACTAAAAAACATACCCTAGTACTTCATTAGCCGCTAGTGCTTGAATACTGAGGAACATGCCCAAAGAGTTCAACAACTGTGAGAGTGGCAATGACCATCCATGTTGAATGTCTTACTTGGTTGATAAACTGCAGGCTTACTAGTAGGTCTGTCAGTTAGTTCCAATATCAAGGACACACGTAGGACACACGTATACGTCATTGATTTCGAATGATTTTAGAATGCGCAGATAACATAACATAACATACCATAACATCATACATGCCTTTAATGTCGATATTTCTACATGTATAAACTGCAACGTTTCATGATGTGCTTTGGACCTTAATCCTTCCCGCCACATCAAGGCCACAACGAACACCGAGTCGAGGCAGTCGAGGCTCTTCTGTGCCAAGAGCCCCAGGGATCGGAAGAGATCGGTGAACCAACTGATGATTTCTCCAAACCTCGCAGTGCTTCAAGGTATTTCAAGGGTCCCATAAAGATCCAGGGAACTAGTCATATAACTCATGTTAACTATATATATATATAGTAGCATCATATAACTCATGTTACCCTCTGGTAAATAAACATAGACCCTGGCAGATAGGGGTTGGAAGAGTAGTTTCCATTAAACATTGGTGATTCTCAGGGTCTATGTTTATTTACCAGAGGGTAACTATATAGTTATGAAGTTAGTGTAACTATAGATGACCTCACAAGGTTGAGTGAATTTAGTGTCTGGCTTTGGTATTAGTCAATCTTGAGATCTATGTTGTTTTAGTATGAATTAGTAATAAGACCACAACGTGACAATCTTAGATGTTTAAGTTTACACCACAAAAAAAAACTAAAAGGTAAAATCTGGTGAACTGAATTCAGGCTTCACGCTTTCCATGAATGGCATGACATAGACTTACAAAAAAGACGACAAACATATATAAACATACTAAAGTGGCTATTGGCCATGGATTTCTATGGAATTCTATGGATTGATGATAATTACGCCCCTTCACTGGTGTGATGCAACCCGTGGTTTGAGCCATCTTCCCATCAGACGTTGGTCCTGGGAAACCCCACATGAATTGGACGCGGAGTTTCTCAACGAGCGCGACAGCTGGAGCTCTGGATTCGGACCAAATTCTGCGGATGTAAATTCCTCCCATCAAGATCCGGATTCGGATCAGAAACATGGGATTTATGATGACAGGTTGGGTTATGAACAGATATACTTGAATCCTAGATACCCCAAATCTTGGACATGTCAAAAAAAAATCATCACAAAAGGACGATTTCTTCCAGCCATAAGATCCAGCCACCATGGAATCCATGGGAATCCGTCCATGGATATCTGGGGCAACCCTTGGGGAATGGGCTGAGCGCGCTTGGAGAAAATTGGACTGTCGATCTACTGTAGATAGAGCACAGATTTATGCACACGGTAGAGCGGTAATTTGTGCGGCAGCATTTTTTGTTTTTAGTGAAACACCAACTAGCACTCAATCCCTAACACCCCTAATAGATCCCTCCATAGTATGGCCCCGCATGGCGTACATTCAAATAACCAATGTTTCTGAGGATTTCGGAGGGTTGCCTTTCTTGCCGGAAACTGATTGCTCTAGATTTCCAGCCTATGTTCTTTGCTAGACATTGCAGCTACTTCTTAAATAATCATTCACCAATACGTGAAGGAGACTCCACCCTGGTTTGTGCCTCGTATCAAACAACTTGATCAGATCTGGGGTCAATTCGTTTGGAGGGTGTCACATGGGTGGTATTGTGGTATTGCATATACCCTCTGGTAATTTAACATAGCTATTGAAAATACCCCATTTATAATTGATTTACCTATTCAAAATGGTGATTTTCTATAGCTATGTTAGTTTACCAGAGGGTAAGGAAATTCGCCCATTACAAGATTGCGCCCATTTCACCGCTATTGATGACGCCAAAATCTCTAAGCTTGGCGCCAAAGAGGAAGTGTTTTCCACCACCAGGATTGAAAGCATGTTCACCCCTGGGATCGCAGGTGCCAGGTCCTTTGGGTCTGTCATGGGGTACCAATGGGCCCACAAGTTTCTATCCATTTCTTAGCTTTCAACGGGGATGGTATGGACCACAATATGGGGATAGTAATGGGATTTTCATGGGGATATAACTATCACCAACTTGATATCTGGCTGTGTCTGAAAATACAGGATTGGCCGAAAGTCGCCCCTCCAATTCTTTCATCAAAAATACCGATTTTTTTTCATGGAAAATGAGGTTTTTCACCATTGGATCTGGGGGGAAAAATCGTATCCAACCTTCAGGATCAACCCGATGGCGAAGTTATGGCGAACGTCATGGCGGATTTCTAGGGATGGATTCCTGGATTCCAACCGTAGGTTGAGAACTAGAGTGACTGGATATGACTGGATCATATCCATTTTTTGGTCTTTGAGGATTATCCACACTATGGAAATATCCACAAATGGATTCCAACCGGAAATTTCCATTAAGGTCTTTGCCAGTTTTGTGGATTTCATCTCCCGACGAAAAATCCATTGCCGCATAAGCATATTGCCGCAGCCATGTCAAACATGGGAGTGTCAGGCCTCGAACCCTGGATATTTACAACCCCCAAAAAAAAGGCTTAAGTTGAATTTGGGTACCATTTAAGAGTATCAGATTATCATAGATTATCACTATTTGGGGGTTTATAAACCAGATAAAACATTAATACACCATCAATACTTGAAAAAAAACATTGTTAATAAACAATATAATAATCCATGAATAATCCATGAATAAACCATGAATAACCCATTAATCAACATTACCCTCTGGTAATGACTAACAGTTTGCTATTGAAAATGGCCCAGTCGAAATAGTGGATTTTCCCATTAAACATGGTGGATCATTCCAGTTCGCTACGTTAGTCATTACCAGAGGGTAACAAACCACAGGGGTTGGTAACTGTCCCATTTTGGGAACACTGGACATCACCTTATAGTAGCCATTATAGACCATATACCTAATGGTTGGGTGATGTTCAATGGGGACATTTAATGACCCATGAACCAGGGCAGACAATTTTTTAGCTCAAAGGCCTGGCACGAACGCGTTCTTGGCCACGATGAGACGAACCCCCTGACAGCCGCTGGGCCAACGGGACTCGCCCGTTGGGCCAAGACGACGCTTGGTTTATCGTTAGAATCCCTAAATGTATTGGGTAGTATAAAATAGTATAAATAATTGGTTAGTATAATTCAGTATAATAGATTTTCATAGATAGTATAATACAACAACGGTATAATAATAACAATAATAGATTGTTTAAGAATGTTTAATAGATTACTATATTGATAATACAATAGTATAATAGATAATCCAATAATACTACCCATTACTACCCAATATCCAATATATTGAGGATTTCCCGTTTGGATTATTGTTGGGTAGTATAATCCCCCAACTAATCATCAACCAACAGTGGTTTTGATCAAGAAACATTTGGACAACATTCTGATAGAATATGAAAGTCAAACAAATTGGGAACCATCCCGTGTTTAGAACAACTAATATCAACGAAGAATGTGTGGAAACTCGAATCGGTTTAGTGTGGTTCTTACGCTTCTTGGCACAATACACAATTTCAAATCCATGTCAAAAAATCATCGCCATGCGGACCAATGTTTTGGTTCATCATAGCTAAAACCTGCTAAAACATCTTGAAACCAAGTGATAGACGCAGTTTGCGGAGATAAATGATGCTTGTCCACACGGTTCATGGATCTTGATGGCAGTTTCATTGCACACCTGACACCACCGCCCCTGCGGGGTTTACACAGCGAGCCTCCAAAATCATGAAAAAGAAGACCAGCAGATTCTGCGGACAATTCGGCGCAACGGCCGGCTGTAATTTGTTGAGCTACTGATCTATGGAGTTCAACGTCTTAGCTGCATATCTATATATCACCCTCCAGTAAATTAACATAGACCCTGGCAGATAGGGGTTGGAAGATTAGTTTCCATTAAAAATTGGTTATTTTCAGGGTCTATGTTAATTTACCAGAGGGTAACAACATGATCTGGCTATTACTTGCATTATTATTGCCATGATATTACTACCATGATTGATTAACATGTACAAAGATTTATAGACACAATGAGATACTGGTTGGTGGTGCAATAACATGCAATAACCATCTTGAAAAATATGAGTTCGTCAATGGGAAGCATGACATCCCTTTTTTTATGAAATGGACAATGATACATGTCTGAAACCACCAACGTGTCGGATATGTCCGACGTGTCCGACGTGTCTGATCATCTCAACTATGGTCAACCGTTGGGTACCCTGATGTCTGTCATTGGTATGACTGTCATGTTCCCCTTTTAACAACTCTCAAGTTGGGGAGTATACTTATACCTAGTGTACCTCTTCAAATATCAGTTGGTTGATAATTATATAGCCATTTATATAGTTGGTTATATTGATTGCCCCATTTAAAGACAACCCCCTATTTTCAGATCAAGTTGGTTATAGTTATAAACCCATTCATATCGCATTATTATGCCCATATTATTGTCCATTTTATCCCCATTGAATACGAAGAAATGGATATAGGAATCATCAGCCCGAACGACGGCCGCTGGGTCCTTTCTAGAGGCCGACATACGACCTGTGAGCCACTCGTAGGTCCTGCCGGGGGGTGATCCAACTGTTTACCGTAGTTAAGAAGACTGGTATGTCCCATACAAAATACATGTTAGTTTATTCAATAGAAAACATGACGTAGTATAGTATTTTTTACATCATATATGAAATATACGTAGTTATACAATGTTATAATGTTATATAACATGTATTATGCATGCGTATATTATATATATATATACACATAACATATCTCTAACCCGTTGGTGCTGAGACTGAGGGTACCCCAGTCTCAGAGAAAACCATAAACCATCATACAGTAGATGTTCATAAACCAGAGGGAAACATCCACAAGAAACTGGGGTAAAGACATGCGCATGACTTGAGAATCAACCTTTGACTCGAATTCATATTCACTAGAGTCACTAGAACATCTTGGAACAATATATTAAAAAAGACAATGGATCTTCTATGATCTACAATGTATTAAAAAAGAAAATGGATCTTCTGGAACAATGACCAATTTCAATTTCAGATGCTTTCCAAACGATTGGACCTCTGGCAGATCTGGCAGCTGGGAATCCGCACTGAGGCTGCCATCGAGAAAGGCCTGCCGCAGTTTTTTTTCGGGGAATTCCGTCCCACGAGTGCTACTCGCTGGTCGGACCAGTCGATCTCATTTTTTCGCCCCATCTTATCAGCCCAGTAGCCCAGTAGCCCAGGAACCTGTCTCTGTTCATTTCCTGGAGTTGATCTTGCCCATGTTTAGAGAATTTCAGAGAGGGCTATGATCGTGAGGCGAAAATGATCACAGTTGTTCGACATCATTGGGGTTCCATATCTCCAGCTCCATGTAGCTCAGCCCCTGAGTTCATGTGATAAACACTTTTACCAGGGACGATGGGACATGAGAACAACCAACAAAAACACAGAACACTGATATCGATAACCTCAATGATTCTCCAATACACATCAATGCACAACATTCTCATCAGTGGCAGCGAGCAAAAAAATATGAAACTACAAACAACTACCCTTTCATTTGGATGATATAATCATATATTGTTAAAAGAACACTGATTTGTTCTTCAAATGATAAATCAACAAACCCTGTAGGTGGGTCTGAATTTGGGCTACCCCAACTAGGGGTGGGGGAGAGGAACATCCATAATCATACATCTATTCACTATTCTGCTGTATTTTGGTGTGAAAATTAGTTCTTTGTTTTCCAAAAACAAACATATTTTTTGACCCATTTTCTCAGCTCAAATGGCCATAGATTCACCCATTTTTGGATCCACCAACACCCATAGATTCACACATTACTCAACAAAGCATCTGGATACCCTCTGGTAATTTAACATAGCTATTGAAAATGGCCATTAATAGTGGATTTTCTGATTAAAAATGGTGATTTTCCATAGCTATGTTAGTTTATCAGAGGGTAACTCCGCCATTTTTGGACCACTGGTGGATCCAACGGCGATGTTTTTTTGTCGCCTCCGCAGCATTGTGCAGCGTCTTCCTCTGGCCCAGAGGGCGTCGGCAGCATGAAGGAGACACTCCTTGGCTGGACATCTAGGCTATCCGAAACAGAGCTTGCCCGCTGTTTTCTTAATAGTATTTACTTGAGAGGGGGAACACGAAAGGTAGGTAAGCAAGAAAGGAACCGAAGAAAAAATGAAGGGGAGAGGGCAGGGAAAAAAACATAAAGTGGAGTCTGGTAAAAGCGACGCGGCCAGTTTCTTTCCAAAAATATGAAGGGGAGTCTGGTAAGGCGACTGAAAGGCTTCGGCGATGTGGTTGGGGTTGGTGGCGGTTGTGGTGTTGGTGGTGTTGGTGGTGCTGGTGGTGTTGGTGTTGTTGGTGTTGTTGGTATTGGTGTTGTTGGTGTTGTTGGTGGTGGTAGTGTTTCTGGTGTTGTTAGTGTTGTTTGTGTTGTTGGTGTGGTTGGATTTGTTGGTGGTGTTGGTGTTGTTGGTCGTGTTGTTGGTGTTGGTATTGTTTGTGTTCGTGTTGTTGTTGTTGTTGTTGCTGTTGCTGCTGCTGATGGTGTTGTTGTTGTTGTTGTTGATGTTGTTGTTATTGTTGTTGTTGTTGTTGTCGTTGTTGTTGTTGTTGTTGTTGTTGTTGTTGTGTGTTGTTGTGTGTTGTTGTGTGTTGTTGTGTGTTATTGTGTGTGTTGTGGTGTGTTGTGGTGTGTTGTTGTGTGTTGTTGTGTGTTGTTGTGTGTTGTTGTGTGTTGTTGTGTGTTGTTGTGTGTTGTTGTGTGTTGTTGTGTGTTGTTGTGTGTTGTTGTGTGTTGTTGTGTGTTGTTGTGTGTTGTTGTGTGTTGTTGTGTTGTTGTTGTGTTGTTGTGTTGTTGTGTGTTGTTGTGTGTTGTTGTGTGTTGTTGTGTGTTGTTGTGTGTTGTTGTGTGTTGTTGTGTGTTGTTGTGTGTTGTTGTGTGTTGTTGTGTGTTGTTGTGTGTTGTTGTGTGTTGTTGTGTGTTGTTGTGTGTTGTTGTGTGTTTTTGTGTTGTTGTGTGTTGTTGTGTGTTGTTGTGTGTTGTTGTGTGTTGTTGTGTGTTGTTGTGTGTTGTTGTGTGTTGTTGTGTGTTGTTATGTGTTGTTGTGTGTTGTTGTGTGTTGTTGTGTGTTGTTGTGATGTGCGTTGTGCGTTGTGCGTTGTGCGTTGTGCTTTGTGCGTTGTGCGTTGTGCGTTGTGTGTTGGTGTTGTTGTTGTTGTTGTTGTCGTCGTTGTTGTTGTTGTTGCTGTTGCTGTTGGTGTTGTTGTTGTTGGTGTTGGTGTTACCCCTGCAGCGTTTTTGCTCGGTTCCGTAGTGGCCGAAAATCGTCAAATCGGTGGTGTTTTCGCGTGTTTTTGCAACTCTCGGAGCAAAAAACACCGTAAATACCGATGTTTTTGGCGGGTCGGAAGCCCAAAACCACAGTATTTACGATGTTTTTGCCTCTGGTAGTAAAAAGCACGGTATTTACAGTGTTTTTTGGCCAGCACCTAGCAAAAACACTGGTATTTACGGAGGTTTCACCATGTAGCAAAATGTGGTTTCTTGATCCGAAAAGAACAAAAATACTGTAAATTACAGTATTTTGAGTCTGCTCTTAGGGTGCGTGGGAGGTGTGGAGGAGGGGGGGGGGTACTAAAATGACTAGCAATCTCCTGAAGAATCAGGTAACGGGGCTGGCCGCCCTCCCCTTTACTTCGTAAAGTAAAACTCAAGGTAGCCCCTCTGGAGCTACCTTTCGTGATTAGTAAACCTGAGCTAATAGTGTTCATATTAGTAGCAAACCTTAGCTACTTTGTGAATTACTCAAGGTCAATTGGTACAGTAATACTTGTTGGGAAACTAATAATTGGAATTTTTGTTAGTTTTGGTATCCTAAGGTTTCCCAAACAGAGGCTCACTAGTCCCGGACTAATATTGGTATTTACTCGTTGTTTTGTTAATAGTGGTAAACCTTAGCTCGTTTTCCGTTAACAATACATAAGGTGGTGCTGGAAAAGTTAGCCGAGTTGGTCGTCAAGTTCGCTTCATGGTGATGAAACAAGCCTACAATCGATAAGCTGGTTTGTGGTTTTAACCATCTTGAAAAATATTAGTCAATGGGAAGGAATATTCATGAATATTCCATCTATTATGGAAAAAACATGTTCCAATCCACCAACCAAATATGGGTATAACGTGTTTCACCGCCCCCACCCAGTCTTTCCAAGTATCCTATGTGTGCACGTTTCATATAGATGTTGTGCTGTGCACGTTTCCCAGCAGTTGTGCACGTTTCACAGAAGTTGTGCACGTGTCACAGAAGTTGTGCACGTTTCACAAGCCTCCTAATAACGTTTGTGTTCAACTGTATGCACTGAGCGCATTCTAATCAGCAAAAGCATTGGGTCGACCAAACACGTTCTCCCGATGAATATTTCTATAGGGTACATAAACCAACCTAGGGGACACCACCTTGTACCCAAAGTAAAAAGACGTGTATCGTTTTCTTGATTGAAACTGGATTCTAAATGATTGTTATCAGCACTTTCCGTAACTATCTATGTTTTGGGAACGTAAATAGATCCACAGAAGTTCTGGTGGAATGTGTTGCACCTGTTCATTTTGGGAGTCCAGGGCCCAGGGGATTTTTTAGATTGGAGGGTGCCATGTTTTTCACGCACTGGAATCCTGCCTGGTTGGTATTTCATGAGTTTCATGTCCGCTTATGTCATAACCACGTTACCAAGGTTTACCCTCTGGTAAACGTTTACACAACTGTGAAAAAACACCACTTTAATAGGTAAATCAACTATGTCAATGGCCATTTTCAATAGCAAAAACTGTAACAAATTACCAGAGTTTCAACACTAAGCCACTTGGACAACACTGGGCTGCCCAAACGCAAACAGCGGCTCTCCAATGTGCCTGTCCAGGTGGTCGTAGAACCATCGTCCATTCGTGGCTTATGAAAATGGGATTATTTCTCGATGCTTGGGATGATTTATAATATATACATATGTATATATATATAATATTCTTATCTATATACACAAGCAGATATATAATCTCATCTATATATATATATATGTAATTAATCTTATATATATATAATCTTATATATTATTCATATCACTGTGGAAACTCCCACATTGCTTAAGACATGAAGACACATGAAGAAACTATGAGATGAAGCCCCCATGTCACAGCGTTGCACTTCCACAAAAACGTCGGCCAGGCCTATAGTCTCATGCTGTCAATTTGACCAGAAAACCCACAGCCATGATGGTTTGCAATGGAAAATCCTAGTAAAATGGATGATTTATAAGGGTATCCCTATTTTAGGCAACCTCCATATATTCCTCAAGAATGCCTAATTTGTTTAGACTCAGTAGGTAAGCATAAACGTGTTTTTATCGTTCCCGGATCGTGAATGTAGTGATTACAGAACATATAGAAGGTCGAATTCAAGCCAACCAATGAAACCATTTCCAAACTCAACTACAGTAATTAGGTGGTGAATGAGAAAGTAGCATTTATATGACCACATGCAGCAATATGACTTGGTGCTATCCATACTCATATCCATACTCAACATATCCAAACATATCGTTGGTGCTATCCAAAGTTCTCAAAGATCCACCGCCCAAGCCTCACGGTCTCTTCCTCTGCACGGGTCTCCTGGCATCACAGCTGTTGTGTTTAAACCCACATCTGAACATATCATGATCATGCATAATGTGTATATATATATATGTATGTTTATATAATATATGTATATATATATGTATGTTTATATATATATTATGTATGTATATGTATATGTATATATATATATATATGTTTACGTGTATATATATAAATGCCTGTATAAGGTATATGTCTATGTATGTCTATGTATGTCTATGTTTTCTATGTATGTCTATATGGTTATTCAAATGTCAAATGTGTATGTGTGTGTGTACATGTGTATGTGTATTATGTATCATCTATCATGTATCATGTACCATGTATCAAGTTTCATGTATCACGTACCATGTACATGTTTATGCATGCACATGCATGTTTGTACATACCTATTATGTATGTGTTGAGAATAGACATACATATGTATATTGCATATATTTTATATATATGCATATACTTACGTATATAATAGTGGCAAAGATAAAAGCCCATGTACTTCCATTACCATTTTGGCATTCCTCGGAATGCAGAATGATCGTACAAAAATCCTTTCAACCAATAAATGTCATTGCCCAATTGATCAGCACCCAATGTATCCAAATTTGCGATGAGAACAAATGTTAGCAGCAACATGCAATTATCAACATGAAGGACAAAACATATTCAAAATAAAACGAACGGCTTCGAAAACAAACCCAACTTAATGGCAACAGTAATCTTGAAGGGTACCTTGGCTCTGGAAAGTTTGTCACCAGTTGGTGCCATGTTTCCTCGGCGACTTACTTAAACACCTTAAGTCTGAGAAACGATTCAAAATGCTTCTGCCATACATCATGTTGTTGGTGATATGTATATACATATATATGTACAAGGATATAGAAGTCATCATTGATCATAACCCCCGCCATATTCATCTAGCCATTTGATCCCCATTTGATGAAGCGCGCCAGTTTCAGCCGAAAAAAAAAAAACGGCCCCCTTTGTCTTTGCTCCCCGCACCTGAAAAAGAAGCGCCAGATCCTGGACCTCAGCCCATGGATGATGGTCATGGCTGGTTACCCTCTGGTAATTGTTACAGTTTGCTATGGAAAATGGATGAAAATGGACCATTGACATAGTTGATTTATGTTGATGTTATTTGATTTAAACCTATGAAAGTGGTGATTTTCCATAGTTATGTAAACGTTTGCCAGAGGGTAGTACACGTTAGTACATTTTTGCATTTTTTGCATTAATAGCCAAAGAAAGTAGGAAAGTATCTAACCAAGGATCAAGGGTGCCCTTGAACTCCCCAAGTCATCATCAACCAACAGGGGTTTTGAGCACTACTTGAAACCATGAACCAGTTCTACGGCCTTGGTCAACAAACTACCCACAAGGATCGTGGGACAACGAAGTACCAGGA